GTAATGATGTCATTATTTTTCAGCGGAATCTCCAGCACAGTGTTGCTATATACAATGGAAGACTTGGTGTGTCTTCGTGTTGTGTTGCATTTCGTCAGTGCTGTTGTCAGAGTGAAATGTGTGGCATTCTCAGTTGCTCCGCATTTTGGGTCCAAGAGACGAATATGCTCTCGGTCCATTCCTTTGAGAATGGGCTTGGGGATAGCGATGGACATCTTGTTTTGAAGGCAACGGACGAGCACGCCTTTTGCTGAAGAAAAAAATGTAGACGGTTTTTAATAAGAGCTGATCACCCATCTACAAGGGTCAGGTTATATCGTGGGAGATTTGCAAGAAATTTATAGGTTCATCTTCACGCCAATTATTCTCAGCTAAGTAGTAGGATTTTCATCAGATGAAATAAGAGGTGTCAAGCGAAGGAAGCTTAACTGCAAGATCAAATGCTGTACTAAATTCTGCAGTTGCTTATGAACACCAAGAATATCCTAAGAAATTCCTCTAAAGTAATCTGGAAGTCTAAAACACTTTGACGCTAATCAGTAGGAGATGGCGGGAAACGTCCACGGCAATCATCTTTTACCCTTTTCGAGAAATTAATTTTTGCGTTATCAAAAATTTTCTTTCAAAAAACAAGTAACAACTATTGTATGAGCTACTAACTGTTGACATTTGACATTGTCCATACAGTGACCACTATGTCCTGTGTTACCTTCACAAGTATGGTTGTCCTCAGCCAATGAGAGCTCTGCATCTGGGCAAACGCACTCGTAACTGCCAGGTATGTTTTCACAGTCGTGAGAGCATCCACCATTCTGCACAGCACATTCGTCAATATCTAAAAAGAAACAGTTTACAGCTATGAATATTTGCTATGAGTTGTTATGAGGTTCTTGTATTACAAGACATTTGCCATATCTTGGCTCCCTTCTTATTCAATTAGTGGGAGTGTTGAAAAAATACACGAGGAGTTAATGGGAAAGCGTGCGCTTGAGGCCTAGGTGGCATGCATAATTTTTTGGAGTCGCTCAAACTTCAACACAAATGTCTCTGAATAATGACGGAAATTAGGGGAACCGAAGGCTTGAAGAGTAAACTTGACACTCTATCGAAAGATTTACAAGAGCTAAAAGAACTGCTGGAAAAGAAAGAGTCCACGATAGGAACAAGACAAGATGGCGCGGATCCATCGTTTGAGGAAGAGAGTTTGTATGTTATTATTAAACACATTTTATTCTTATGTTGTTGGAAAAAAAGGAAGGTCTGAATAATTATCAAGACTACCAGCCAGAAAGAAAGAAATCTTACCAGTGCATGTCTTTCCATTTCCTGTAAAACCCTTTTTGCAGGTACAAGTGTAAGATCCAACAGTATTTTTGCACTTGGCATTAATGTCACAGGCATCAGCACCGGTAGCACACTCGTTGATGTCTAGGAACAGAATATCACAAGATTAGTTTTGGATAAATCGTAAAATTCTTTGAAATCCTTTCATGTTTGTTGAAGGCATTTCACTACAGGGTAGTTATAAAGTATGTAAAAGCTATTCTGTTAAGCGGAATCATCCGTAATATTGTGTCGTTTGAAAGAAAAATCTGAAAGTGGAGAAGAGCTTTTTCTTTAAGAAGGACAATTCAGTAAGATAATAAAATCTTACCAGTGCATGTTTTTCCATTTCCTGTAAAACCCTTTTTGCAATTACAAGTGTAAGATCCAACAGTATTTTTACACTTGGCATTAACGTCACAAGCATCAGCGCCGGTAGAACATTCGTTGGTATCTAAGAACAGTGAATCACAAGATTATTTCAGTTTTAAATAGATCGTTTTTTTTTCTTAGCAATATACTTTCAGGTATCCTAAAGTCACCTTACCCCAGGGTTAAACATTTGAAACTACGCAGAAGTAATACTACTAAGCGACAGATCTCGCTTGTGTTGCGTTATTTGCAATAAACTGATCTGGAAAAGAAGACGATCATTTTTCTTTAGGGAAGAGCACGTCAGTAAAATCAAGCCAAGTAAAATCTTACCAGTGCAGGTTTTTCCATTTCCTGTAAAACCCTTTTTGCAGATACAAGTGTAAGATCCAACAGTATTTTTACACTTGGCATTAACGTCACAGGTATCAGCGCCGGTAGAACATTCGTTGATATCTAAGGTCAGAGTATCACGGGATTAAATCACTTTTAAATAGATCGTTATTTCTTACAAATTTTCTTTCGGGTCTCCTAACGCACTTTACTATGGGGTTAAACAGTTTAAACTATGCAACAATATTATTACTAAGCGATACGCGCTATCGCTTAATTTGTCTTATTTGAAAGTAACTGAACTGGAAACGAAAACAATTGATTTTTTTTTCTTTTTGGAAGAGCTGGTCATTAAGCCAAAGTAAAAATCTTACCAGTGCATGTTTTTCCATTTCCTGTAAAACCGATTTTGCAGGTACAAGTGTAAGATCCAACAGTATTTTCACACTTGGCATTAACGTCACAATCATCAGCACCGGTAGAACATTCGTTGATATCTAAAACAGAGTATCACGAGATTTTTTCAGTTTATTAGGTCGTTTACTTTTAAAGCTTTCTAAAGCAGTTAAATATGGTGTGATAATATTTTAAGCCTGTTAATGTAATGTATCAACCTGCTTTGATTATTTGAGAATAACATCTATAAATGTGATGGATGTTCTTGAAAACAAAAGAACATCTGAAAAGGAAGGAATAAACCAGTCTGATAAGTAAATCTTACCAGTGCATGTTTCTCCATTTCCTGTGAAACCGTTTTTGCAGGTACAAGTGTAAGATCCAACATTATTTTTGCATTTGGCATTTACATCACAGGCATCAGAGCCGGTAGAACATTCGTTGATGTCTAAGAACAAAATATCACGAGATTATTTCAGTTTTAAATAGATCGCTATTTCCTTAGTGATGAACTTTCAGGACTCCGAAAGTTATTTTGCTATAAGGTTAAACAGTTCACAGTGATACCACTTAACAATCACTTTTCCGTTTGGAAGAGCCTGTGGTTATGTCAGTTAAAATCTTACCAGTGCAAGTCTTTCCATTTCCTGTAAAACCCTTTTTGCAGGTACAAGTGTAAGATCCAACAGTATTTTTGCACTTGGCATTAACGTCACAGGCATCAGCACCAGTAGAACACTCGTTGATGTCTAAGCACAGAATATCACAAGATTCAGATTTGCGTTTTAAACAGATCATTTTTTCTTAGAAATACTTTCAAGCATTTTGAAGCTACTAAACAACTACACGGTTACAAAGTTAAAAACTATGTAATAGTAATACCACTAAGCGCTATTAGTTTATGTTTCGTTATTTATAGGAAAATCTGAAATGAACACCTTTCTTTTTCTTTCGGAAACGCTTGTCATGTAAGTCAAGTAAATCTTACCGGTGCATGTTTCTCCATTTCCTGTAAAACCGATTTTGCAGGTACAAGTGTAAGATCCAACAGTATTTTTACACTTGGCATTAACGTCACAAGCATCAGCGCCGGTAGAACATTCGTTTATATCTAAGAAAAGAGAATCACGGTATTATTTCACTTTTAAACAGATCGTAACTTTCTTTTTTACTGTAAGTATCTTAAAGCCACTTCACTACGGGGTTAAACAGTTTAAACTATGTTACAGTTTTGGCAACACCATAGAGCAAGATTAGTTTATGTTGCGTCATTTGATCGGAAGATCAGGAAAAGACGATTGTTTTTCTTTGCATACGGAAGAACTAGGCAATTAGTCAAGTCAATCTTACCGGTGCATGTTTTTCCATTTCCTGTAAAACCGTTTTTACAGGAACAAGTGTAAGATCCAACAGTATTTTTGCACTTGGCATTAACGTCACAGGCATCAGCGCCGGTAGAACATTCGTTGATATCTAAGGACAAAGTATCATGAGATTATTTCTTTGACATGTCGTTTGTTTTTGTGTCCTAAAGCAGTTACATATGCTGTTACAACAGTTTTCACCTGTTCATGTCATGTATCACTGTTTATTTCTGGAATCATTTTAAGCAGATAAGAGAATAATATTTAACGTCATCTCGGTATGTTTGTGCACACAAAAGAATATCTGAACATTAAGACCATTCGTTTTGAATTTGAAAGAAGAAATCAGTGAGTTAAGAAAATCTTACCTGTGCATGTTTTTCCATTTCCTGTGAATCCCTTTTTGCAGGTACAAGTGTAAGATCCAACAGTATTTTTACACTTGGCATGAGGGCCACAGGCATGAGCGCCGATAGCACACTCGTTGATATCTAGGAAAAGAATATTGTTTGGTTATTTCTCTAAAGTTAACTATCTAAAAAATAGCTTGTTGATCGGAAAAAATTTTTGGAAGTATTTTGGAGTGTTTTTCTGTCTAATAGGAACGAGCATTTAAAATCCCAAGGACGATAGTTAAATTTTTCAAGATAAATATACAAAAAATTATACAAATCTGTGACTGTCACAGAAGACCAGCGTTTCAGAAAATTAAAAATTCGCCATCTCTAACTATTCAGCTAGAAAAAATAATCAGCGAAAATTATAATCTAGAGGCAAAAATAATTAATGTTCTAATGGAAATAATAATTAATGTTCCCCTTACCTAAACAGCCTGTCATATTTCTCCTGGCGTATCCAGATTTGCAAGTACAAATGTAAGAACCCACTGTATTTTCGCAGTTGGCATTTTCACCACAAACATCACCAGAACACTCGTTTACGTCTATGAACAAAATGTTATTTGAATACAAAATTGGCACATTTTTTATTTGAAAGCTGTTCGTGATGACTAAATACCATTGAATGTGTTACTATGACAACCCTAGGTGGACCGATTGATGGAAGATTTGGGTAAATCCAGGACTGTAGTTACCAGGATTACTAATTGGGCTTTAAACTGCCTGGCCTGAAGATGCAATGTGCTTATTTTATAGTTGCAATTATTTATAGCCTTGTAGCCTGATCAAGTCATAAACAGTGATAAAAATAAACTCTTAATTACAAAAGATCAGAGTAGAATTAGCCACGTCTAAAAATCTGAGTTTGATATATGAGTTTTTGCAAAATGTTGTTTCAAAAATATTAAAACTGTACAAAATTTATTGCTTTTTAGCCACCCAGAAACCTCTGCAAATTTTAAAGGCCGATATTGCCATAAACACACTGTTTGCAAATTGCTGAAAATGTCTTGGAATCCCTAAAAGAAACTAGCTCTTTCCATGTTTGAATTAAATAAGAATTCGCATTTTTTTACAGAGGGAAGATCCTAAAACGGGCGGTGAACCAACTTTGGAAAATCGTTTTTGATGGTTGTAATTCTTTTACTACCTTCTTCGCAGTTTTTTCCTTGAAATCCTTCTGCACATTTACAATAGTAACTGCGGCCAGCGCGAGACTTGCATTCACCTCCGTTTTTACAAGGGTTCTTGTAACACAGGTTTGCTATGAAAATAAAAACAGATGTATTCTTACTTGACGCTAGATTAAGGTAATAAATTAGGCAGGTCCACTCCTAAACACCAGTGGTTCTTTTTGTTAACAATCGCTTTAATTTTCATAAATTTACAAATCTTTTATCTTAAGCCCAGTTTAAAAGAGGAACTTTTCATGTCCTTAACCTAATGCATAAATTAATGTAATCTTTTTCGACTAATAAGCATATCAGACCCTTGTACATCGTGAAAGAGAATTGAATTCGACTAATTAAGTTCCACGGCTGAAAAAAAAAACATCAAGCTTATATCATTTGGGTCGACCAATTTCGATGATTTTCGGTACATGAAAAGTTCGACGTTCGAACTGAGCCTTAGTGTAGTTGACTGATATAAGAATAGCGTGAAATAAACACGACAGTTCCGTTTCGTTATTCCTTTCAAACATTTTCCTACTTGCTTACTGTATAATGGCGGTCCTAAATGCATAAAATCTATTGTCACGTTTCTCCTGTAGTCTTTTTTCAGTTTATCACTTTTTCCAGATATCTTTTTATTTGTTTTTCAAAAAGAGAACTTTTTAAAAGCAGCCCCTTTTTGTGGGGTTTGATCATTCTTCACTTAACCTTTTTTTTCTTACAATGCAGCGCTCTTAGAAATCAAAAGAAGTGTAGATTGAAATGCTTCCTTAAAGTACCTGTTTCACAGTTCTTTCCATAATATCCACCCGGGCATACGCAAGAGTAGTCTTCACCAGCAACCACTGAGCAGTTTCCATCATTTAGGCAGGGGTTCTCGGCACAAGGACTCTGAACTGAAACAAAATTAAATTTATTTTAACATCAATTTAAAAGAAAATATACAAGGCTGTTTTAAAGCATTATGTGGCGTTGATCAGTGTGGACAAAAATTCACATGAGCAACACACCATGTTAGACTTCGAGCAATATCTCTAATTTTTCTTTTCAGACACAGTAGTTAGAGAGCACGCGTGAGGAAGACCGCGAGAGGTCTACAACCATGTACAAATACTATGTCGAAAACAAATATAAAAATACTAAGAATTCTATCGCCAAACAAAAACAAAAGAATGCATGAGTTATAAGAAACATAACTAACAAGTAAGGCACACAAGAACCTTTTTCAACAAGGATCTCTGGTTTCAGGTAGTGAAGAAAAGGCTAACCTGGACACAGATTTCAAAAAGACAAAGATTGTTCCAAACCACAAGTATCTATGGTAAGTGTGTGAAAGAAGGGCAAACATTTCTTGTTTGACCCAATCATTTTTCGTGGTTTTGATAATTTTTTTAATATTTAATGTTAACTCTTAGCCCAGTTTTAATTATTTTCTCTTCATTTTATTTTGATAGTGAGTCTAGGTCAATTATGTCTCCTGTCTCCTTTGTTGCACGCGGAAAAGGGACGGAACTAACTCGTAGAAGGAGAAATAATCAGAGGCTTGTGAGGAAGCGTTTCCAGCAAATTCACTGAATATCGTGGTAAACATATTGTAGGCTAGTAAAAATAGCTGAATAAAAAATTGAAAAAAAAAATTTAATTAAGTCATCTTACTTCCAGACGATTCCCCACTGAACTGGTCCTCAGTATATCGTTCGGGAAAGAAATCCTCGATTTCGTCGACAAAACTCTCTGGTTCTTCTTCGTAGAAATTCAAAAACTTAGGAGCATCGTCATTAGTTTCGATTGCTCCTTCACCCAACAGGTTTTTTCCATCGGTAGTGAGCCAGTGTAAAGTCACCAGTATAGACACGACAAGAAGATTCATTGTAAATCCACAGATTAACGAGTCTGCGTTGTGTCCCAAAGTTCAAAAAGAACAGACGCCTATGTGACGCAAAGTTGGCCTTTTATAGTGCTTCACTTTTAGAACTTTACTGAGCTGAATTTTCAGCCTTTCCATTGGCCGAAAAAGTGTTAGCATACATTTTTCTTTCTTTCATTAAAAGGTTCTACACTAAATACAAAGGTGGTGATATAATTTGGCATCACCCTCGGACTGAATAGTTTTTATATTGTTAATAATAAACAAAGCCTCTGTTTTTTTCCTATCAGACTTTCAACAGTCAAAAATTAGTTTTTTCAGTTTGAAATTAATTCTTTCATCGCTTCGAAAAGCTTGTTTGAATTTTTTTTTGTTTGGGTAACCCTTGTATTTCCCCTATGACTTTTTGCGAAAAAATGCCTTTAGATATTTTGGAAAAGGGTTATTATGTTAATTCCAATCATTTCTTTTATTTTCACCAGAATGAGTGATTTAATACAGAAAATGATACAGTATGAGGTGTGCTTCAAATCAGCGGTGAAAACACAAGGATTACGTAACCATTGATACTGATTAGCTCATTACCTGGAGGGTATTGTTCATTGTTTTGCGAATGTACTGATTGTACCGCGAGAATGCTCAAACCCTCAACTGTTCTTTCACTGAAAAATACGGAACTCGATTTTAATTTTGGTTAGTTACTTCACTATCTGCAAAATTTAGTCTTCAAAGGTAGTTAATTACTGATCCAAAGAGATTTTATTTTTCATGTTTTCATTTGTGTGTTTTTCATTAGTTTTGTACAAAACATGTTTACAATAAAATGCTTGCGTTAATTCAATTCATAGTGTGTTATCTTTTACCTCTTTCTGACTGAGTTGTACTCACACCTCTTAGCAAAATAAGAGTTCAGTCACAAGGCGTGTTAGCTTGACACCTCATTGCAATTTTCAGTGCCTTGTGGGATTGCCGCCGAAAGCTTGAAAGCCAACAAACCCAAGGGTAGTTTTTGTCTTTGTGTTTTTAACTCTCATTTGCAACATCAGAGCTTAGCCATATGTTTTTCATTTAACAAGTTGTAATTGTCATCCTATTGTTTTCAAAACATCTCACTTTAATATGCAGAATGAAGGAAACCTTTAAAAGCCATCGGAACAACTCAGGTGGCTCAATTACTCTTTGGATAACAAAGAGACGCGTCTCAGAGTTACTTTCCCACCTAGAACCATGGCCGTTCGAAAGTGGATATTTTTCATATTTTCGTTGGTTTTTACCTCGATCATCGCAGAGGAAGATCCTTTATGGCATCAACTTCTGAAAGACTCTGTTGTGATGGATGAAGAACGTGAGTGAAGTGTTGATATTTTTTCTAAGTATATACCCCAATCACACAGAAAACATTTTGGAGCTTTAATGTTTGAAACGACGATATCAGTTTCTTGTTTTCATAAGCCCTCTTTAGCTTCCCTGGCTATGGCAGTATCTACAAGTTTTGAATTTTTTTACTTTCTGTTGTTAATTGCTGCAGTGGATTAAATCTAATAATTCTCACCAACCCGGTTTACCGATGATTCACTTTAACCCTGGGTTAAGTGGCCAAATTTAAAACCACTTGAAATTTATTTGGCTACGAACGTGTCACCGGAGCTTTCTTCTGTTATAAGAAATTACGTCGAGAGATACAGTTATCCTAATGCTGTCCGGGCCAAACTACAAAAGTCCAAACCAGTATATTGAAAAAATGAGTAAAACCTTAGAGTCGTATTCTCTTTGTTCAAAGTTAATAATATTAATTGAACTGGATTATCGTGGAGAAGCTTAATTTCTGTTAATTTACACTGCTAATTAGTCAAAACTTCTTAGATTCGAAACATCTACACTATCTTTTCTTAGCCTGGGAAGATTATACCCCATATTGGTGTTCCAAGACGAAAGGTTTATCAAAACCTTTGGCTGACTCTGTGAAATCGTCCGAGGCTTGCATTGCTTTGTGTCTTAAGTCAAATCCCAACTGCAAAGCCGTAGAATGGTGGGAAAACGATGGCCAAGACTGCTTTGAATGTATAAGGCCATCTTTGAAGACTAAATTTACTGACACCACTGACGGAGGGTATCCACCGCACGTGCTTGTCAAACCAGAGAAACTTGCAGGTGAGTTGAAATCTTTTGCTGGAAAAGTGCTTGAAGTCAAAATTGGTTTAATAGTACCATGGGAAAGTACTGCTCAAGAGGTTTCATTTGACTGGTCACACCACAGGATTTTATCCACAGACTTAAAAGTTAGAACTACATACTAAACAAATAGTATCATGTGAAACTACTGCTGAAGAGGTTTCATTTGAATGGTAACACCATAGGATTTCATCCGCAGACTCAAAAGTTAGAGCTACATACTAAATAAATAGTACCATTTTAAAGTACTGCTGAAGAGCTTTCATTTTAATGGTCACACCATAGGATTTCATCCACAGACTCAAAAGTTAGAGCTACATACTAAATAAATAGTACTATGTTAAGTACCACTGTTAATTTCACTGGTCATACCATACTGGTTCGTCCTTTAAATTTTCTTTTAGTTCCAACAAACTTACATTTATATGTTCACTGTACACATCATGTTCGGATATTTGGTAAATGTATGTGTAGCAGCTGTAGACTCATTGCCTCGGAGATTTGAACAATGCAGTGGCGTTAAAGCCCTGATCAGGAATTGCACTTTTATTTCAGCTCCTACCAAATGTGACCCTAACCCTTGCATGAACGGTGCAACTTGCAGACCCGCTCCTCAATCTCTTGTTGGATATAAATGTACTTGCTCACCTGGCTACGAAGGAGTTAATTGCGAGGACGGTAAGACTGAGTAATGCTAAATTTATTTGTTTGATCAGGTTACTGTAATAAGCTAGATTCTGACCTAAGTTCTTGGCTAAGATCCTTATCTACAATATAGAGAAACTGACTATATGTGTGTTTAGAGACGCCTTCCTCCCGTGCGTTGCATTTTGTCCTTACTATCAGAGCTTCCATGCTGTATTGCACTGTTTAGAAAACGACTTTTTGCCGTTTACGCCCTTAGTAAAATTAAAACTGAGATGTCTCGAAAAAATTAATATTCTAGGATTCTAGTAGATTACCTTTCATAGTCTTTTGAAAAGTTAGGATAAGATTTGTAATAATTTAGTTGCAATATTTTGCTGTTGTTTCAAAGGTGTTACCCTTGGTTGAAATATTATTCAAATGTTTTAATTTTGTATTTTGTTTTTTTGTTTTCTATTTCTTATTCTTTTTTCTCTTTCTTTTTTAGACGTAGATGAGTGTGCCAAAGACAACGGTGGGTGTTCACACAAATGCAAAAATACCGCAGGTAGCTTCGTCTGTTCATGCCCTGATCCGGAGCTGAATTTGGCACCCAATCGTCGTACGTGCGTCGGTAAGAAAACATATTTTTTGGAACTTTTTTACAAACAAAATAAAGGAAAGGAAAAAATGAGGACGAAAACCAAAAAGTTAGTGAGAAAATTTAACGTTCCAGTCAACTTAATAAAATAAAAGCGAGACATTTACATGTTTAAAGCTAGCAGGTCTTAATTAACTCCAACCTCAATTTCATTTAAATCATCCAAATTATTGATGCATTTTCTGTGGAAAAATAAATGTTTTCCCTTTCGCAAATGTTTTCGACCAACAGCGGACTTCAGAGCTTTTTAAACGTTCATGGAAGTTCTTAAATTCTTTTGCTTCTATAAGGAACTAAGAAATCTTAAAGTGAGGTTATTAAGTCCATTAAAATAAATTACCTCTTTAAAAGATTTAACCTAAGCAAAAACAAAATTTGTCCTTTCAGCTTCTGGTGTTTCTGTAAAATGTCATCAAAATAACATGTCCATCACCCTGCCTAAAGCTCTTCTTCTCGGCTTAAATCGTGAACATGTCACCCTGCGAGATGTGAAGTGTGTTGCCACGGAAACAAGGACACACTTCACTCTTACGACTACATTGACCGGCTGCGGTACAACCGCCAAACACAGAAGAGGTTTTGTGGTTTATAGCAACACAGTCTTGGAGATCCCAGTCGCAGATGACGCCATTATAACGAGAGTTCGTGAGATCGAGATACCCTTCAGCTGTTTCTACAAAAACTCGGGTGATGCTACTGCTGTTGGAGTTAAACCTGACACCAGGAAGTTGGTTTTTGATGAGGATGGAAAAGGAAACTTCACAGTTGCTTTGGATATGTTTCCAGATAAAAGGTCTGTTCATAACCTGTTTTACATACGATTTACCTCAACATTTGAGCTTATCCACGTTTCATTTTCGTCACCTTAAAACTGGATGAAACATTGCAGAAGTTTGGGCTCAATTTAATTGTATCCTAAATGTGTTTTAGTCCATTATGGAGTTTCTTGGGAAAAAATAAAAAAATCAGGGCTTTTCAGTTATATTTCATTACTACTTGAAAATCATTTGTTGTTGTTAGTTTTCTATTTGTCAATGTTGATCTTTAGCTTCGAGGCAGCTTATACCCAGAGTGATTATCCTGTGGAAGTTAAGTTGAGACAGTACCTCTTCTTCCAAGCATCTGTGAAAACCAAGGACAAAACTCTGTCAGTTTTGGCTGAGAACTGTTACGCTACACCCTCCCAGGACAGACAACATGATGACAAATATCATCTCGTCAAGAATGGGTAATTTAAAAAAAGACTTTTACCGCTTAATGAGATTAGATTTCGGAAATAGTTTTCAAACAGCTTAGTAACTAAATGATATATGAAATGAATGATATAGGAAAAGACTAATTTTTACTTTTCACCTAGTGGTTATTTCTCATTACGAACAGTTTTTTCATTTTTCGAAATGTGTACACTTCACAATCGCATCAAGACTTTTTAACACCTCAGCTGGAACTGTGGATTGTTTTAAATAACATTGTGATTTTTTTACGAAAAGCATTTCAGGTTAATGTTTTTGTGTTGGAGGAGTAAAAACAATAAAGATTCTGGGACGAAACTACAAATTTGCTCTTAAATGCTGAATCTCGTGTTTTTTAAGTTTTCTTGTATTCCAGTCCAAGAACACAATAATGTCATTAGAAACTTCAACTTGTGATCTTTCAATATCTTGCTTCAATTTTTTTCCTTTTCATAAAGAACCATATTATAGCATACTAATAATCGTTGATAGTAATTGCTGACTATGACATTTTTTATCTTTCAGTTGCCCAGTTGATGAAACAACCATCACCATACAATCGCAAAAAGTGGGTGTGGATCGTTTCAGTACTGAAGCGTTTAAGTTCATTGCTGATCACCCATTCGTGTTTGTCCACTGTCAAATAAGGATATGTGACGCAAGTAACCCTGGATCAAGATGTGCACAGGGATGTATCAAGGAAGGCAGATTAAGACGTGACGTTAGCGATGAAGACAAATTATACCCACTGGCACAGGGACCCCTCACAATTACAAGTGACGCAACAGAAATGAAATCAAGAAAAAGATCAAATAAAAAAGGTACATGTTCCTTTGATACAATCATTCACAATTTTAGATAGTAAGAGGAAAGTGTCTGTCTCTGATCTACATTTCGTGATTCAGAGAAAAGTAAATCCGATTAAGAAGAGTAAGGATGTGCTTAGTTTATAAGCAGCTTACTTCAAGTACCTTCAGATTTTCTCACGAACGAAGTTTGGCCAAGATCATTATGTTTGCCCAGACTACTTACTAACTGCTTTCGGCTCTTATTTTTACCCCATTAATCCAATAAAGCTTCAACCTCCAAAACGCTAAAGAATTTCAATTTTAGAATTTCAATATTTCGCAGAGATCTCAACCAATAAAGGAAATACGTATTCCACCGATAAAATACTCCTTCAGCATATGTAATTTTACAGACACGACTTCAAGTTTTTACACTTAAGCAGTTAACTTCTTATCGACATTGTTGACTTGATATCTAACGAAAAATTTTTTGTTTAACATTTCAGATATGACTGTACCAGCTCTGGTTACCATGGGAATACTATCAGCGCTTTGCCTGATGGGAATGGCTTACTTGTCTCGCAAGAATACAAGCAAGGCCACCGCCTACACTATTGTTCCAGAAAGCTGCGACGAATAAATCAGTTGTATTGGAACTAAATTTACAAAAGATTACGAGAATAAAGATAAAATTAGATGGAATAATTTCTCTTGTGTTTGAATATTTTACTTCCTATCTGTTATTACCTATTCTCTCTTCGCTTGAAAAATTTCTGAACGATTGGGTTGGGATTTTCCGGTGAGGCATTAGAACTCCTGCCATGTCTCGGACTAAAAGAGCTCAAATTCAACTTCCTTTAAGTGAGTGTTCCTTGCACTGCTACAACATAAATCCCATATGTTTTACACATTTGAAATACGTGACTTGAATAAGCAGAAATAAGACAGTGCACAGAGAAGTTTAACCCCATTTCATGACCCCATCTAATTGCTAGACGAGCCTTACTAGAAAAAGTTCTTTCTTGAACAATTTTTCCATAGGCTCAATTAGTTGACTGAAATGCAGGTTCTTTTGACTTCTTTTGTTATTGTCGGTAGTCCATTGAAACAACATGCTAAAAGCCACTTATACTAATTTTACTTGCCGATTGCTAAGAGTGCATAGTGTTTTCCATTTAATCCAATTACAATACCAATACAATTCCAAGAATGAGTAATTCAAACTACAGGTATCCTAAACTCACCCGCGCTCATGTGAGGAGGCCCTTGTCCAAACCAGTCCTGTGGGAGTTCGACTCTTCTCTTATGCAAATTCGGTCTTTCTTTCTTTCTAATAAATTTGCATAGCCGCTCGCCACGTGAGTGAAAACGCTCCACACGAACCAGTGTAGGCTGCGAGTTCAGGGGAAAATTAACCTGCTCGTAGATTAACACCAGTGAAGCAATCAAAACTCACCGCGATTCTTGAGACAGCCTTTCTTTCAATTTACTTGTCGTCAAGAATAGTCGATAAAACGATGATGTGGTAAGTACAAATGATATTGGTTGTAAAGTTCCTAGTTGAACAACGCCGGGATAAGCATTATTTGGACAACTCAAATGCATGTGCATCTAAGATTGGATTCATAATTTAGCTTTAATTGGCTGCGTTCTCCAGTAAGTCCATAAATTTATTGAAGTCAACGCGGGGAATTAAACTTGCCTTTTTTTTATTTTGAAAGCTGGGGTCTGATTATATCATCAACAACAACAACAACAACAAAACATTTATTATCGTAATTTCTTGGCACCTAGTTAGTCAAAATACATGGCCAATTAATCGGCTGTATCTGACAAATGTTTCGTAAATGTGTACTGTCGCACTCTGTTACATCTGAGGCAATTTGTAATGAACCGTGTCACACTTTGTGATAAAAAAGCTGTCCAAAATCCATCGCACTTTGTAACATCTGTTATTATCATTTTTATTATTAATTATTATCATTATTATCATGAATTATCATTACTATTATTATTGTTATTATCATCGTTATCGTCATTTATTATTATTATTATTATTATTATTATTATTATTATTATCGCTGAAGTGATTAGAATTAGAAGTTAAGATGGTTACTGATGGACAGCAATGGTAATGCCTTCAATCTGGATTAGTTTAGTCATCATAGCTTGACACAGCCTCGTTCCCAGTCGTCCTCGGCGATTTCGTATGTGACGTCACCAGTCAAGCTTGTCGGGAAAATTCGCCGAGGACGGCTGGCAAATAATGACAAATCCAAAATGGCGGTACCGAGCCACGACTTTAGCCAAATTCTTGAAGAAATGCAAAATGCATCGGAAACAGGTTGGGTTAGTTTAGTCAACGTTTGCTATGAAATCTGTAAAGTTGTTGGAGAATTTTCGTTCAAGGAATCTATGGTTGATGAAATAAACGTGGATTTTTATGTTCAACAAATAGTCCCATCTCAGCAGCTCAAGAACTGTGTTCAGTTGAATTCGACTGGCTATCTCGCTCGGCTTCAAGCCTCCTCTGGTAACTCGGATAGCGCGAACAGGCCTGGATACGAGGCTGAGCTTGACCGGTTAATTCAAATAGTCAGGTATGCTAAAATCTTTGAAAAAATGATGTCGCGCCTTGAATACGAAATTTCCAAGAGAAAAGCTTTACAATTGTATTTAAGTTAGCAAAATTTTACTGATTTTTACATTTTATTCCGTAAATGCAAAGGAACTTTTTCTGTATTTGAAATGTTTTCTTGCAAAAAAACTATGATCGTAATTTTATCTTGACTCGCATCAGGGTAGAAAACATTGAAAAGCATCTTCAATACTATCTCAACCGAAAGTGTTCTCTCTATGTATAATCGGAGTTTAACTTATACAAAGGTTAGAATAGCCAGGAAAATTTTTCCGTCAACCAGCAGCTGATCTATGATTAAGAAGTACAAACGTAGAGCAAATGCAGAAAAGACCGATAGGAGCTCCTCAGATTTTACATTTGGGTCGGAAGAGCCCCTAGGTGGAATGATGATTAAGTTAGTAAGGTAGTAAATAGTCACCTTTGCCCAGTAAGGATACGTTAGGCATTTCAATGAAACCACCCAAAACATTTGTACTGAGAGATTAACTTTGCGGCATGTCTCACCTCATGAGTATCAACCCAGAGCGTTTTAAGTGATCTCCATGCATCGTATAATTGTCATTGCATTCAAACCACAAGCGTTAGCATAACCGAATTTTATAAGTCGTCTAACTGACAAACTATAGTTGAAAATTCTATGTCTTAGTACATTTAACTGGAGCGGAAATGAAAGCAATTTTCTTAAGTTCGGTGCTTGATGACGTCACCACCTCTCGAACGAAAGGAACAACACTTACCCAATGGCTTCAAGACTGTTACTGCTGGGATGAAGAAGAACCCTTTGATTGGGAACCCTTCTATCTTAGGGCACCACGGTGCAAAAAAAGCGTCAATTTGATTGAGTTTCAATTTAAACCCTTACCTGGACGCATACCAACCAATGGTTCTTACTTTAAAAAGGACGAAAGAGGTAACAATTCATCAGAGACGCTAATTCATCTTTTCTAGTCATACCATGTTGCATCCTCTTTTTGGAAAAGCTTAATGTGACTGATTGGCTTCAAGAAAATCTTCCGAAAAACTCGGCAAATACAACTTTTAATCTTGATCAGCACTGCACTGGGATTTAGGCCGGAACCTCATTCTACAGAATACTCTCTTCAATTAAACTACTCTCTCCTGCCAAAATGGATGTAACACCACTAAGTTTGCACATTTTCTACGCCTAGTTACTTCAAGATCTATTTAGAGAAAAAAGTAGGGGAAACCCAAAAATGGAATTTTCTTGCAGATAGCAGTAATATAATTAATTTTAGCTCTTGATATCGATTGTTCCCTTTTCCTTGAGAGACAAATACTGAAAAATATGTGAAAAAATTGTATACACTAGAACCCCGGTAACTCGAACTCTGAAGGGAAACGAAAAACGTTCCAGTTAGCGGGAAATGTTAGTTATCGGGGTAAATTTCGGTGAGATTTTGATCAAGGGAAAGGTAATTTAGTTCGAGTTAGCGGGAAGTTCAAGTTGTCCGTGTTCGAGTTTTCAAGGTTCTACTGCATCTGTCTATAAGTAAATGGAAGTCCTCTTACCTTTTCTACAGCCATCCTTTTTGGTTTTCTCAAAAACCGAAATGACCGCGGCAAGAGATTGACCAGAATCGGCTCAACCAGCTTAATACGGCGTTTTTCGAACAAGCTTCAAAAATGAAAACAATCTCGTTCAAAGTTTCTTGTTACATACCCCCTTCCAGGTCCTACGAACAGCCCAGGTTGCAATAATAATGAATACAGGTTAAGAAAAGATCAAATTTCATTTTTGAAATACACACACTAAGCGAGACTCTAAAAATGCAATTAAAAAAAATACATAATTATAGTCATGCAAATAAAGCTTATGCTGTTGTTGTTGCAAGCAATTCTTTTTTTTTTCTTTTTTTTTTCTTGGGTGCGCCCAAAAATGGAAGTCATGGTCCCAGGCGTAACTAGCGGAGATCGTGGAAACTGGGGATAAGACTCGCCGCGTGACCGGAGAGGGGCACCCAAAGACTGTTTTCAGTAAAATAACTGTTTGGAGAAGCAAATATTTTCTAGATTTTTCTATTGCTTGAAAATGGCTAAAAATTTCTCAGTGAGCGTTCTATTCAGGTGCAATTTTCGAAGCCTATCTAAAAAAATTCCCTACGATTTTCTGAAGTATAATTTTTTTACATTTTACTCTCCTTGTTGGGCTAATTTTCGCAGAAAAAGGAAACCTAAAATTTTCGGATTTAAAAATGTGATAAAGAGAGGAATAAGAAAAATTATCATATTCATAAAAGGTTCAATTGCATCTAAAATTTTGTTCGAGAAAATATCACTGAAGCCATTGTACTTTCGAAAAGCCTCAAGTTCCCCTAGGAAGACCGAACCGATTCAAATCTTATAGCGCCGCTTAGATTTCATTTCTAGAGATCTAAGAGTACTCTGGATAGCCTAAAAAGAATTTATAATGCATTTAGGAGGAAACCGTCGTTGGGTGCCCCTGGCCGGCAGCATACATGGTTTGTAAAGAAAGCTTTGGAAAGATTAATGCGAAAGATGTCGAGCTTTTCCAGAACGAGTTGGTCAACGAATTCTATCCCTTGAAAGCGTTGATTTCTTTGAAACAAGAAGAATCTTAATGAGCAAAACTTCGATGGTGAGACTAACTGGTCGGCTAACTGGTGAGTGTTGCAAACTTTCATTGTATGCAAATGAGTCTTGTGATGAGCATGCGGTTTAGTTTCGAGGATGATTGAAATGAGGCGCCATGTTCATAACGTTTTTGTTCTCTGGTAATGATGTAATTTCTCTCGAATCGAGGCCCTTGTTTACCGTGTATTTATACACGCGTGCTCAATCAATTCAGAAATAATCATCGAATACGATATAAAAAGTAAATATCCTGAATACTTGACCGTCGATAAAGTAGGAAGTAAAACTCTTTTAGAGACGAAATGTTTCTTGTATAATTAATCTCCCCCTCATTTCTTATCTTCTTTCCAAGCAAACGAGACAAACGGATAGATACCATTATTTCTTTAACTCTTGTTAAAATTTCACTATTTCATTTATTCTTGGAGTCCTAAATGTATTGGTTAAAGGTTATAGTAGATGCATTTACATGAAACAATGCGGGGTTTTTTCCCCTTTATTTCTTCGCTCCGCTGTATTCCTATTCAGGGGTACCCAACGACAATTTTCGGAAAATATCTGTTCGGAAGACGGTGATGAGATCTAGAATTTGTTGTAAAATTTCTTGCTTGCCTGCCTCTCCTAGGATTTTCGAACATCTAAAAAATGGTATAATTGCCCATTTTTAACGGATTTTTATCCCTAAAAGGTCACCTAGAATTTTCGGGAGCATTTTTTCTGGCTGAAATTTTCGAAAAGGTAAGTTTTGATCCCTATAATTTTCGGGTCACTAGACTTTCAGCTAGGAAATCCGAACAGATGAAAAATTTTTAGGGAATAAAAATATGCCTACATCTACCATTTAAATACTACTGTACGTTTAACAATGCTACGTTTAAGTGGTTTTGAACTATATTCTCGTTGGATGCCCCTGCCTCTTCCAATATTTTCATTTTAAAGTAATTAAATCAGCGAGACCGGTCAGATTCATGATTCATACGAAAGACAGTTTCACTTGAACCTTCCTTTTGATAAATCAATTTTCTGTGTATTGAAACTAAAATTGTCCGAGAAAGTAAACGATCAAAATGAAGTGAAGTTTCCTGAAGGCAAAAGGTGTCTGCTGATCCACATCAAGTAATTTCATCTGAGCGAAAATATAACCGATGGATGTAAAAGCAATCTTACTGAAATAAGAAAAAATTCCTTTTCACGTCAGTTCTGAGAATTTAGCAAATTGAACCGTTTTTCTTTTAGACGGCGCATGGGGTCCACCACCCCAGGGGAACATTCTCACCAATATTTTTCTAATTACCCACAAGGAGTTTTTTTTCTTTGAGTCATTAAGCTGCAAGAGAGGAGTTTAACACCTAGGATATTAAGTAGGCGTTGTAAAATACTCAAAAACAAGAGAAATTGTTCTATCAAATGTTATTTTTTTATTTAGACAATCGATCGCTTTTATATCAAATTTCAATACAACTGAATTATTCGTCAAAAGCTTGCTGGAACGATAGTGTAGGCGGTGGCCTTGCTTGTATTCTTGAGAGACAAGTAAGCCATTCCCATCAGGCAAAGCGCTGATAGTATTCCCATGGTAATCACAGCAGGCACAGTCATGTCTGAAATATTGAACATAAATTTGTGTTAATTGTGAGTAAAAGATGACGATAAGACGTACATAACCCCAGGGTAAACCTTACAGGATAAAACAAATGGTGCATGCAGCATGCAGGCGTGGGTATTTAGAAAGCAGGAAAATTCATGCATGCTGAAATATTTTTTTACCAACGAGACTCGTTACCTTTGTGTATAATAGTGATAGTTGTTTTAGTTCTTTTAAGTCATAAGTTCATTTGGATTAAAGCAGTGATACAACCATAAAATTCAGAAGAAATATCGACCGATCATTGTATTCTTGTGCAGGGTTTTCTACGCACACCGATACACATGATGCTAATATGGCGAAACTTCATCTGTCATACATAAAGTACATCCCTATTCTGCTCTTACTCAAGGGCATTTTTTGATAAATTTCGAGTGCTAGATAAGAGATTGCCACTTTCTTCGACTTCTAACGTTTTCATTGATTATTTTATTAGAGTAACAAGTACCTTTTTTATTTGATCTTTTTCTTGATTTCATTTCCGTTGCGTCACTTGCAAATGTGAGGGGTCCCTGTGCCAGTGGGTATAATTTGTCTTCATCGCTTACGTCACGTCTTAATCTGCCTTCCTTGATACATCGCTGTGCACATCTTGATCCAGGGTTTCTTGCGTCACATATCCTTATTTGGCAGTGGACAAACACGAATGGGTGATCAGCAATGAACTTAAACGCTTCAGTACTGAAACGATCCACACCCACTTTTTGCGATTGTATGGTGATGGTTGTTTTATCAACTGGGCAACTGAAAGATAAAAAATGTCATAGTCAGCAATTACTATCAACAGTTAGTATGCTATAATGTGGTTCTTTGTAAAAGGAAAAAATGGAAGCACAGATAATGATCGCCATGACATTATTGTGAGCTTGAAATGGAAAACAAGAAAACTTAAAAACAGGAGATTTAGCATTTAAGGGCAAATTTGTATTCTAGATCACAGAATCTTTTGTACAGTACTTCTACATAAAAACATTAACCAGAAACTTCTTACAAACAATTTTGTTTTTTTTGTTTTTTGTTTTCAAACAATTCGCAGTTTCAGCTGAGGTCATTCAAAAGTCTTGTTTCGATTGTGAAGTGTAATGAGAAACAATTTGAAAAACGACAATTTTTCTTAAAGAGAAATAACTACTTTTTGAAAGTAAAAGGTAGTCTTTTTTTATTTAAATATGCAGTCTGCTTAATAAACTTTTTGAAAATTTTATTTCCGAAATCTAATCTAATAATGCAGTAAAAGATTTTTTTTAAATTACCCCTCCTTGATGAGATGATATTTGTCATCGTGTTGTCTGTCCTGGGAGGGTGTAGCGTAACAGTTCTCAGCCAAAACTGACAGAGTTTTGTCCTTGGTTTTCACAGATGCTTGGAAGAAGAGGTACTGTCTCAACTTGACTTCCACAGGATAATCACTCTGGGTATAAGCTGCCTCGAAGCTAAAGATCAACATAGTGAAATGCGACACTGACAAGATCAGATTATTTTCAAAAAATATCAAAATAAAAGTACGCTCTGCTTTATTCATTTTCAGTTTCTAAGTAATTTCTTTGAGGGCGACAACGCATTAAGGATGCAATTCACTTTACACTAAGCTACTGCCAGGTTTTATCCAACTTCCATGAATGTGTTTCGGTGCAACAGAGGATCATGGATAAGCTAAAATAGTTATTTAAATGGTATTTAAAACCCATTATAAACCTTTTATCTGGGAACATATCCAAAGCAACTGTGAAGTTTCCTTTTCCATTTTCATCAAAAACCAACTTCCTGGTGTCAGGTTTAACTCCAACAGCAGTAGCATCACCCGAGTTTTTGTAGAAACAGCTGAAGGGTATCTCGATCTCACGAACTCTCGTTATAATGGCGTCATCTGCAACTGGGATCTCCAAGACTGTGTTGCTATAAACCACAAAACCTCCTCTGTGTCTGGCGGTTGTACCACAACCGGTCAATGCAGTTTTAAGGGTGAAGTTTGTCCTTGTTTCCGTAGCAACACACTTCACATCTCGCAGGGTGACATGTTCACGATTTAAGCCGAGAAGAAGAGCTTTAGGCAGGGTGATAGACATGTCATTTTGGTGACATTGCACTGATACACCAGATGCTATAGGATAAAATATTGTCAATGAATAATTATTAAGGTTTTAAAGAAAATTTAAAGTTTCATTCGATGCTTGAAAACCTCACTTAATGATAGGCCTGTTACAGTCCAACGTAAAGAACCTGAAATTTTCCAAGAAAGTGTAAGTAGCTATGAAATCAGTTTTAAGACAGAAAAATGCATGAAATGTTTTCAACTTATTCATTCTATTGAAAGAGATTCTTAGTTTTGATGATCTACATTATTTTGAGTTTTGAATGCCCCTCAACGTATCACCTTTTTTATCAGGTTTGTAGCAATATCTGGTATGTTTCATTCTCTAATGACCCCTTAGCATTCTCGCTCATTCATTTCCTATAATTAGAAGATCAAAATAATACGTTTCCTTACCAACGCACGTACGACGATTGGGTGCCAAATTCAACTCCGGGTCAGGGCATGAACAGACGAAGCTACCTTTTGTATTTTTGCATTTGTGTGAACATCCGCCATTGTCTTCGGCACACTCGTCCACATCTCAAAAAACAAGAAAACGTTGATTCAAATAATTTGATTATCAAGGGTAATGCTCTTTTTTTTGCGCAGTTAAAAAATTAAAACTAGATTATCAAAATGCATATCACATAACATAAAAAAATACCTACGGAATATAACCCACTAGAATCCTAGACTATCAGTTTCTTTGAGATATCTCAGGATTAATTTTATGAATCGCGTTAAATGCGAATTTCCCTGCTAGCAGAGGTCTCTCACGACGCGGCAAAAATGAGATGAATGAAAGTCTCTCTCCTTCTCCTCATTTTTGTCTCATCGTGAGAGATCTCTGTTAGCAGGGAAAACGCGAATAGTTTTGTGGCAGGCATTCATCAAGTTAAACAAATGATCAGCTATTACAAGAAAACACGACGCGCGAGACAAAGGTGTTTCTTAACACGCGTGACGCGCAGACTTTACGACAGAATCTATTGCAGCTAATTACAGTAACTTTTGAACAAATTAATTTAGCATTACTCCGTCTTACCGTCGTCGCAATTAACTCCTTCGTAGCCAGGTGAGCAAGTACATTTATATCCAACAAGAGATTGAGGAGCGGGTCTGCAAGTTGCACCGTTCATGCAAGGGTTAGGGTCACATTTGGTAGGAGCTGAAAAAGAAGTGCAATTCAAGATCAGGGCATTGACACCTTACCAGAAAAAGTACATTCAAATAATTTGTTGATCCAAGGGTAATATTTGTGCTACAAAAAAGTTACAACTAAATCATAGTAATTTTAAAAACTAAAAAAATAGTATTGACAATACAATGTCAGCTTCCTCGATTTACGAATGAAGTAACAAGGGAACCTATCGCAAAGCTTGTTGTTAACAATGCAGTGGACAAAAGTTATTTCAGAACTGACAAAAGTCGTCTATAAGATTCAATGAAAAAGATTGGAAGAGTGCTGAAGGTGTTTCTGCATTTTTTCAAAAATTTTGTACTAATTTGCTAATTTGCCTTTGGTTGTTCCTCCTGACGAAAAGAGTTTTAAAAAGATGATATTTCTATCTCAAAACGTTTGATCTTCATTTACAAACTAGAAAGAGAAGTTTCGGTGGTAAATTCATTTCGACGCCCTTATCAACTTAAGCACACAAAGGCGTTTTCTGAGGCTTTGCTCACACTCACACTTAACCAGACAGCTTCTGGGCACAAAATTCATATCGGATAGGGTTTCTATTTACACCCAAGAAAGTTGACTTCGGAGCGATTTCTGAAACGAAGCGAAGCTGCGCCTCGCCGATCTCTAACAAATCGGATAGTTGTTCATAGTATACCCGATAGTGGTGTCTGCAGTCGGCACGAAACGTTATCCGGTATTGTATGTGCATTGTCTGACTAACCCGGATACAGCAAAAAATACCTATTAATACTTAACTAACGTTTATCATCCATTGCAGCTGGTTCCTTCTTGAGTTGATTCCATAAAGAATCTTCGTCGGCAGTGACCATGTTAAACAGCAAGGGAAATAAGAGAATTATCCACTTCTGAATGACCATGATTCCAGAACAGTAACTAACTCAAAGATACGCCTCTCCGCTGTCGAAAGAGCAATGAAGGACAAGTGATGTGTTCTACCGCCTTTTAAAGCTTTTGAAGTGTGAGGTTTTTCGACACAAGAGGGTGAAAATTACAAGTGTTAAATGAACAAAATAAATCAGTCCTGATTTTACAAATAAAAGTTGGAATTTTTAAACACAAAGACAAAAATACCCGCCTTTGACTTTGTATGCCTGCAAATCTATCGGGATAGAAATTCGGCTTTAAAAAAAATCACGGAAATTACAAGCTGTCAAGCTATAAACACCCCTAGATCTAATTCTTATTTCACAAGGATGTGTGTAAATTCTTCAGTTAGAAAGGGATAAAGGATAGTAAAGAGTGGGCATTTTTTGTTCTTAACTAATGCAAAAGTATACTCAGTAATGTAGACCAACGTTTAAGTTCATATTATATGTCACAACT